TAGCAGTGATATGAAAAGCCATGTTTCTGAATGACAGAACCTAGTGATGCCATGTAGACAGAGAAGAGAAGTGGTCCAAGTTAGGGATGGGTACCGAAACCCGGTATTTAATCGGTCCTGGGGCTAAATTATGAAAGACCAGATTATCGATAAGCTCTGATGTTAACGGTTCTGCTATCGTTACTGGAAAAATTAATAAAACACATAATATTTATTATTGCTATATATACATTATCTTGCCAATTCTATCTCACCAGAGTCGCCAGCTGTTTTTCAAACATTTGTCTATGATGCATTTTTGCTATTCGCAATTCAGAAGCAAGATCGCGCCCACGCGGAAAAGCTTCAGCACGCGCAACATGAAAGCCCTGTTTAATTATGATAGAAGAGAGAACTAAACATTCAAACATCTGCTTACAAAAATGTTTTAAAGAGCATGCGAGAGTTAGGCGAATTGTTAATTTTGTTGTGATAGTATGTCCTTTTAGCAGTGCAGGCATTTACTATTTACATTATTTAAATTTGTAATTTAACAAATTTAAAGTTAACTGGCATTTAACTTTACATACAGTACTTAATCCACATGTTTAAACAAGTACTCAAGAGCTCCCAGAAACTACTGTGTGTGTGTGTGTGTGTGTGTGTGTGTGCATTTGTCCAATGAAACACACTGTGGTTCTGACCAAGGTGTGCTTCACACTTTTGGTTTCAATCTGTGTTTTTAAAGGATTATTTCACCCAAATATGGAAATCCTGTCATAATTTGCTCACCCTTACGTTGCTCCAGACTCATGATTTCTTGATTTCCACCACACAACACAAAAGGAGAATGTACTTGCTCTTGTTGAAAGAATATAGCGCACATATGGACTAGTTTTAACTATTTTGAAGCGTGAATGCTCCAGTCTGCTTTCACTGTAACTGCTTGAAACAGTGCCCAGCTACATTCTTCAATACATTTCCTTTCGTCATCCATGGAAGAAAGTTCATTGTGTTGTAAATTTTTACTATTTTTATATTAGTTAGTGCAGTCTGATTTTTAATGTCAGGGATGCAAACTCACCATGGGTGAAAAAGGTGACAAAATTACCCCCACCCAAAATTAAACACTTACAATATTTAAAACAGTTATTATTTTAACACTACAGTTGTGCAGAAAAATTCACTATAAAGATTCACTTTCCATTCATGAAGATGATATGAAACAATCCTGGTGGAAAACAAAGACTTTTCCCTATTTTTTTTTCTCATGTCTTGCTTTAGGATTTATTATTAAATGATAAATGATATTATGACAAATTTACTTTTACTATACTGCAGTATGAAGTATAGCAAGTACAATTAAATAATAATGCATTAAATATTTTGAGAAATTTTAACATTGCCTTAAAAAGGACACATCAAAAAGGGTGTTTTAAATGTTATCTATAACTGTAGAAGCTGCTAAATATATTAATCCAACACAGACTTGTTGCTGCTGTAGTGTTTTTCTGAATTTACTCCGCATCTCTTAAAGAACAGCTCACTGTCAATCAAAGCAATGACTTGCAGAACAATTGAGCGGATTCACTAGCGTAATTTTTTACACTCGCTTTGTCATTCCTGAAACAGTATACATGGATGTTTGGTGCTCTTAGACAAACAAAAATCTTCTTCAAATTCTGAATGGATTCTGCAGAGAAACCGAGCAAAGAGCGCTCCCCTGATAGCACAACTGCCCGAGCTCACTAACTAGCTACACAATCAATCTCTTATTTACACCACGTGTATGCTTCATTTATCGTTCTAATAGGAAGATCTGCGAGTGTGTAGAACTACGTGAGCTAAAATAAAAATTGAGTGTCATTTCTTTTCTCTTGATAAGATTGCATGTACTGACCTTGGGCTCTGAACAGAAAGCAGCCACCGAAAGCCTATCACGTTTAGTGTATACTATCAGATGTTATACAAACAACAATAAAGCAGTAGAAGAGTCAAACACTCACGTCTTTCTCCAGCGGTTCGCTGTGGACGAGGCGAGGTTTGGAGTACACAAACGTCCCGGTGGAGGAAGAGTCCTTGTAGCTGGAGGAGAGAATCTGCAGAACGTCGGAAAACTCTCTAGAGTCCATAGACATGCACTGAAACAGAGCTGTGAACCGAGAACAAACCATCAGAACACAGTTACAACCTCTCGCACGGTTCATCCGCTCCCTAGTTTATGTATGGAAAATAGTTTATAAATGGATAATAATATCAGAGGGGAATGACACTCTTTTGATTTTACTAAGCTGAATCACAGCAGCAGTTTTTGTGTCGTGCCATTTTTATTATACAGATGTTTACGGAAACCTCAAAATCAGGATGGTCAGATCTCCAGGGCACATGTACATATAAAAACATTCAGCACACTCTTGTTCCATAGACTTAGAACTGAAACCCAGATGTAACGATCAAGATCAATCCAAGTTCCACGTTTAGGGACAATTGTAACAGGAAGAGTTTGAGTTGCTTTAATTTCTTTGATTAAAAAAAAAAACAAAAAAAACAACAACAAAAAAAATCTAGTTTTTATTTTCGGAGTTTTATTAAAAAACAACAACAACATTATTCCACATTCTGTCCAATGTTATCTTGTAAATGATGTGCAAATGAAAGGCTATGGAAGCAAATATGTGACCCTGGAGCACAAAACAAGTCATAAGGGTACATTTTTTGAAATTGAGATTTATACATCATCTGAAAGCTGAATAAATAATCTTTCCATTGATGTATGGTTTGTTAGGATAGGACAATATTTGGATTATATTGATATTTGGAGATACAACTATTTGAAAATCTGGAATCTAAGGGTGCAAATACTGAGAAAATCATCTTTAAAGTTGTCCAAATGAAGTTCTTAGCAATGCATATTACTAATCAAAAATTAAGTTTTAATATATTAACAGCAGGAAATTTACAAAATATCTTCATGGAACATGATCTTTACTTAATATCCTAATGATTTTTGTCATAAAAGAAAAATGGATAATTTTGACACATACAATGTATTGTTGGCTATTGCTACAAATATACCCCAGCGACTTAAGACTGCTTTTGTTCTCCAGGGTCACATATAGCAAATGCATATGTGCAAAAACAGGTTTAACATATAACTATTAAATTCTACAACAAAAACAAAACAACTGACAATGAAAAATTTTAAAGCAGAAGTTAAAACACCAAATTCAAAAAAAGATAATAAAGAAAAACAAAAGCAGTTAAATAAAGGCTGTATTATAAACTCTGTACATTTTGCAATAAATAAATAACCTTTTCTGAACCATTCCCCTAATCCCTACTTCTGACATTTATGACTGAATGAGCTGCACACCATCTTCATGCAGTTGCTTATTATTAGTGGCCTGTGTTAACGAAACTGCTTCAGTGAGAAATCATTCGTATCTATGATTTGTTTCTCATCTGGCTGTTTTGGAGTTTGCGGATGGATGTATGCGTCTTGTTTTTTCAGGCACGGCTGCTACATGAACCACATGAACCACAATAATATATCAGTGATCAGAATGTTCCACTAATTTCCTGATCGGTGCTGCAATCATCTGTGTCATCTGTGAAATGTGTGTCTGCTGACTGAAACGTTTGGATCAGACGCAAGCCAGCCAGCAGCTTGTCACTGGCTCCTGTCATGACCACGAGCACCCGTCACACTACCGGACTCATTTTAAACAGAACGCAAGATGATTTGTAGCATTTAAAAGCATTAATTCAGTGCATTCAGCTGAGCTGCTGCTGAGAGACCAAATACCTCCAGATCCCCATGTTAATGAGACTAACATCTGCCAACAAACGCTGAAACCGGCTAGTAAAAGCCACAGACTTAATAGACTATTCCTTTACAAACTGTCAGGCTGTTCAAGTCACCATGAAATCAATCTGGACCGTTATTCTTTTTCTAGAATGTTGGATTGTTTACTATAAATGATTTATCTGCACACATCGTTATATATAAATATATATATATATATAAAAAAAAA